TTTTTTTAATTATAAAAAAATCATATTCTGGACTGAAATTGTTCAGGCAACCCATTTCCAATATACTTAACGATATATTTAATTTGACTTGAAATACTTTTTATCCATTAACCAGCTCGGTGAAGGTCGTTTTATATCGGGATCTTATACTATGAGATGTTTTTACCCTTCAATTTTTTGCAATTTTGTAGGATTTGATTATTCTTGAGGTTCGATTGAAATTCTACTTTTATGGGACAATTTTCCGCTCTTCTCAATGGGTAACAGTCGCTTGACAGTCGTTTAACGATGTACAAATATTCCTTGGAGTAACGTGTTCTCTTTTTTTGCCCAGTCCAAATATTACTATATTTTTCTTCTTTTGCTCTCTTTTCAGGTGTTCCACTTCACCTTTGAGAAATGAGTTCTCTTTTTCCAGTTCCGAGACTGAATTTTTCAGTTCTTGGACTTTGAGTAAGAGTCGAGTCTCACTAGCTTCAATATAATTTTTAATTTCTTTTCTATTTTTTAGTATCTCGTCATATATTTCCTTGTTTGATTTATCAACCTCAGGCGTTCTTACGCTACGTCTTAAGTCACTCTTATCAATTGGAACACCCAGTATTTTGTGTTGGACTTTTAGTAACGGACACTCATTAAAGGAAACTATATATCACTTGAATACTCAACAACTACGGAGCAGTACGTTGTCATAATTGTCATCAGTACACCTTTTACACACTTAGTGAAGAATGAACTTCTAAAAATGATGAGTTTTCAATCCATGATTGAACTCATGTTCATTTTTTCCATTCTGGCAACGGTTCCTATGTCCTTTCAAACGTATTTTGTATGTTCTTCCAGTTTGATCATCACAAACCAAACCTTTTACTTGAACAGGACACCTAGTGGTTTTCCAATTGCAAATCCTTCGCGAATGCATTATTTCTTCAAATTGGAAGTAGAAGCACACATTCAGCATGTCTAATATTTTCTGTTCAACGATAGGATATATTGATATTTTGTTCTTACCAGACTGATACTTTCATTCGAAAAAATACTGGGGAAAAATGTTTACATCGAACGAAATCAATTTGGCATTGCCCAGAAGATGTCTTTGATCAATGGATATGAGTTTTTTAAACTGGATTTGAAATCGAAATTACTATTGTTCTGAATGATTGTGATTAATTTTACCGATATTTCCACTGGAGGTGGTGTAAAAAAAGAAACCA